CAGTGTGCTAATGATCCATTGTTAGGCTGATGGTCCTTCTTGAGCATGTGATCAGCTGGTTTTGGTTGTCAGCAGCAAAACTGGTTGATCCACTCTGAGAAGGTGCTATTTAAGAGACTGAGCTGAATACAGCTCCTCAGACTGAGGAAGTCTCTCGGATGAGAGACGAAACGTTTCTATATTTTTTTGCTTGGTTTTTTTTTTTTTTTTTTTTTTTGAATGTCCAGAGGACCAGATTGAACTTATTTGGATTTAATAGAGACAGTTACTTCTTACCTTGCGTTGCAAACTATTTTCAGCCACTGTTTCTTTGCTGGTGACTTCGCGGGGCGGCTGTGGCTGAGTGGTTAGAGCAGTCGTCCTCCAATGCAAGAGTTGGGGGTTCGAACCCCACAGCAGTCACATGCCGAAGTGACCCTGGGCAAGACACTGAACCCCTTGTTGCCTCCGATGTGTGTCCCGTCGGTGTATGAATGTGATGAATCACTGATTAGTCTCTTTAGAATGATTTGTTCCATTAGCTTTGTAGAGATCTAGTAGAGTGCTGTATGAATGGGTAAATGAGGACACAGATTGTAGTGTAAAGCGCTTTGAGTATCTCGATAAGATAGAAAGGCGCTATGTAAGTACAGTCCATTTCCATTTCGCTGCTCCTCCTCCAATAATCCACACTTTTAATCCAGGTTACACTCTTCCCTCAATGACACATTTTACAAAGTAGCTACATATTGTGCAGGTATAAAGATAAATTTGTATATATTTTTGTGTACATTTATTTTTTTAAGCTATGTGACTAACTTGTACTTTTTATTATTCAATATTTTACTAACAGAATAGTCTAAAAAGCAACCTGTTTTTTGTGTGAATTGCTATGTCAGTCAAATGTTCAATTTTGGAATAAAGGGGTGGAAATTAAAACTTTTTTTTTGTCGATTCATTGATTAATCGAAAAATAATCGGCCGATGAATCGATTATTGAAATAATCGTTAGTTGCAGCCCTATCCTCTACCCCTCACTGCTTCCAATGTGTGTCCCATCAGTGTATGAATGTGATTTAAAGCACTGATTATCCTCTTTAGAATGATTTGTTCAATTAGCTTTGTAGAGTTCTAGTAGAGTGCTGTATTAATGGGTAAATGAGGACACAGATTGTAGTGTAAAGCACTTTGAGTGTCTTGATAAGATAGAAAGGCACTATATAAATGGTAAATGGACTGTACTTATATAGCGCCTTTCTATCTTATAGAGATACTCAAAGCACTTTACACTACAATCTGTGTCCTCATTTACCCATTCATACAGCACTCTACTAGATCTCTACAAAGCTCATTGAACAAATCATTCTAAAGAGACTAATCAGAGCTTTAGATCACATTCATACACCAATGGGACACACATCGGAGGCAACGAAGGGTTCAGTGTCTTGCCCAGGGACACTTCGGCATGTGACTGCCGGTGGATTCGAACCCCCAATTCCTGCATTGGAGGACGACTGCTCTTACCACTCAGCCACAGCCGCCCTTATAAGAACAGTCCATTTACCATTTATGAAATGAGTTTTCTCTGCAGGGTAGCTGGACTCTCCCTTAGAGACAGGGTGAGAAGTTCAGTTATCTGGGAGAGACTCTGAGTAGAACCACTGCTTCTCCACATCGAGAGGAGCCAGTTGAGGTGGTTCAGGCATCTGGTAAGGATGTCCCCTGGACACCTCCCTAGGGAGGTGCTTCAAGCATGTCACACTGGGAAGAGACTCCGGGGAAGACCCAGGATACACTGGACAGACTATATCTCTAGGTTGGCCTGGGAACACATTGGAGTCCTCCCAGAAGAGCTTGAAGAGGTGGCTGTGAAAGAGATGTTTGGACCTCCCTGCTCAGGTTGCTGCCTCCGCGACCCGACTTTGGAATAAGCAGAATATGATCGATGGGTGGAATGATGGATAGATGGAAGGAAGAAACGAACACACTTATAAATAAATCTGACCTGACTTGACTTTTTATATATATATATGAATGTTTCTGTTCAGTGACCTGAGATGACTTCTGTTGTGACTTGTCACTATATAAATAAAATTAATTGAATTGAATTCAAATTGAACCAAAGTGCTTACTCCTTACTCTAGCACAAGCAACTCTTTGTGCAAATAATAAAACATGGAAACAGATTAGATTAAATAAGCAAAATTCCATCCTTTAATCAGTTCATCTCTTGTGTAAATCTCATAGAAAAATACAAATATGAGAATACAACCGGCTGGGCGGCTGTGGCTGAGTGGTTAGAGCAGTCGTCCTCCAATGCGAGAGTGGGCGGTTCGAATCCACCAGCAGTCACATGCTGAAGTGTCCCTGGGCAAGACACTGAACCCCTCATAGCCTCTGATGTGTGTCCCATCAGTGTATGAATGTGATCTAAAGCATTGATTAGTCTCAGAATGATTTGTTCAATTAGCTTTGCAGAGATCTAGTAGAGTGCTGTATGAATGGGTAAATGAGGCACAGATTGTAGTGTAAAGCGCTTTGAGTATCTTGAAATAAGATAGAAAGGCGCTATATAAGTACAGTCCATTTACCATTTACCATTTAACCATCCAGTTCAAGTACTGTGAGTGAGACGACTGTAGAAAGTGCAACTGATTCAGTATTATAATATTGCCCTCACCAATGGCCAGGTGACCCAAACACTGCATTCTCAGGCACTTATTTAGCTGCGCTGCCTTCAAGATGTTAGCCCCGTTGTCTTTAGCCAACTTGTTCCACAGTTGAGACTGGGACCGTGTTTTTAGTGATATGATAAGCCACAGCTTTATTAATGTTGTGCTGCCTCTCACTGTTCCTCTCATAAAGCACAGCACGGCTAAATGAGTTTTGCACAGTGGTTTGTCTCAGGGAAGGTGGCTGAAGTCAACAGTCGGAGCTGCAGCTTCACACATGCTTCATACTCTACTTATATCGCTGTTTTAAATGATGAAAAAGGTTCATAGTGCCGACCTTTTGTTGGGACTTCTTTCGGCATTGTCTACAGAAAACATTTTTCTGCTGCTCATCTGACAGTTTAAATCCAAACCATTTCCAAATAACAGCCATTGTTTTTCTTTTTGCTCAGCAGCTAAGCTACTTTTGATATATCCCGTTTACTTGTTGTGCTAAACTCCTGCTCACCTGAAGCAGGAAGCGGGGGGAGCGCTTGCAGGTGAGGGCTGGATTGTATTCAGTGAGGGAGAAGGAGATGCCGTGTGAAGTTGGCAGCACTGACCAGATTTAAGATACCTGCAACTCCTAAAGAGTATAGCCTCCAGTATACTGCTGCGTACGTCTGTTAACACGTACGTACACGTGTACTGTACGCAGAGGGTTCAGTCTTCGTACTCCAGCGTACACTGTTTCATGTTGCTGCTGATCTGTTTCAATGTTGATGTGTTCATGCGTGCACATCCGCTCACACAGACTCATGTTCATGTTTGTGCTGATGTTCAATGTTTTATGTTATGAGTGCTTAGTGTATATTTAGTTGATGTTTTTCTTAGTTCATATCTCCGATGTTATTACTGTTTTTCTTATACATTTTATTGTTGGATGTAACTGGGACCCTGTGTACATAATTTCGCTCCACCACATGTACCACATGAGGTGCGAATGACGATAAAGAATCTCTGACTCTCTGACTCTGACTCCCCGAGCAGCTGCAGAACAGCTTCACAGACAAGGGGCATTTACCTTCGGGACAAATTGAGGTCGCCGATTGGTCATTTGCTGACACGCCTACTGGACTGATTGACAGGTTGGAAAAAATTTAAAAAAGCGAGCACTGGCAGCCTCAGCGGTGTTCTGTGCTTATATGTTATTAATAAAAAGATCTAAAAAAAACAAAAAAACAGGGAGCGCTGGCTCTACAGTCCACACATCAGACCAGCACACCAGGAAATCTCCAGACCCTCCCGCAGCCATGCTGGACCTGAGTTTAATTCGCTAGTGACAAATTCCTTCATTTCTCACCATTTCAGTCATGGCATCAACGGAGGAGGAAGAGATCACTGCCTCTTGGCAAAAAAACAAAAAGAAAAGGCCAGATCAGGGATGAAGTAGGGGAATTTAATACATTGGTGTTGCATACAAAACAGTCCAACGCTGGGCAGTTTATTGTGCAACACCGCGTAAGCGTATGCGGTCGTAAAAATTTGAGCTTTGCATGGACATGCTCTGGGGGGTACGCTCATACCTCTGCGTACGTAAGTGTGTACCTCTGCGTATGGATGTACGCGGCAGTATACTGGGGGCTTTAGCTGTAGTTTTTGATGCTCTACCAAACTCCATGATGCTGCTCTTCAAAGGAACAAAATCGGATCATTCATCTAGAGACCAACTTAGAAGCCCCATAATGCTAGGTGGAATGGCAAGTTTGGTTTGGTAGGCGGAGTGCTCAGTTCTTTTAACGGGGTGGAGCATCCCGCTTGTATAATGGTAGGGGAAACAGCAGCACTATTATAGGACTTTAAAACAAAAAGGCAATGAAAACCATCTCAGTTCTAGAAAAACGTCATGTGAATTTATCTATATAACCTGTAAATAGATTGTTTTGTATCATTTTAGACTTTTATCTTTTGTACCTTTTTATAATTATCTTATTGTTTTTTTATACTTTAATACTATTACCTATGTACCTGTTAATATACCCCTGGCAGACACATTTGTAATGTTGATAAAAAATTAAAAAAAAAAGTTGGCAGCGCAGACGGGCAGAAAAAGAACTACACAGAATTTCAAGTCTAATTATAACGAAACATAGAAATATTGATATAGACGATATAGTCCCATCTTGTGTTCTCAGTATTTTTAAAATATTGATATATTGCCCAGCCCTACTGTACATACGTTTGCTAGAACACACAGTTTGGTTCTCAGCTGCAACCACACAAATATGTGACAGTTACAGTAGTTTTATGTTTTTATGCCTGTTATGAACCCTTTTTCTTGTTGTCGTCATATGTCATTTTTATGTTCAGGTACCGAAAGCTTGCTTTAAGGTGGCACCCCGATAAAAATCCTGAGACCAAGGAGGATGCAGAGAGGAAGTTTAAAGAGTTGTCAGAAGCTTATGAAGTCTTGTCAGATGGTTTGTGTCACAACTGTCAAATCATCTCAGATTACACGAACTAAAACGTTGAAGGCTAACGCATCAGATTGTACACTGTAGTTTTATTTTCATTTTTGTTTTTCTATTTTAAAATGTGTAACTTTCCTTGTGCAGCCAACAAGAGGAGCGTATATGATCGTTACGGTAAAGAAGGGCTGGTGAGGAGCAACAGTGGAAGAGGTACACTTCAACATTTACCGTATTTTCCGCCGTACCAATCGCACCACCCTATAAGTCGCATCAGTCCAAATATGTCTAATAAAGTGGAAAAATCCATAAATACATCGCTTCGCCGTATAAGTTTCATCTATTATGCGTCACAGTTGACTACCCGGAAATGTGGACCGGTGTTGTGCCAAAAATCGATGGGCTGACAAATGACAGCCGCGGGAGCATGCTCAAGAGGACTTTTAACAAGAATTTAACAAGATTAACACTTAAAAACAGTTATTTGTTTGCTCGAAATTATAGCAAAGGTGTGTCTCAGTCTAACTTTACTTAATAAATGCACTTTGACGGTCAAATCAGCTGTATTTCAAAAGCTGATATGTGTAAACATGAATGCGCAGAGGACGAGTCGCTGTGCATTTCTTCGAAATTTAACAAGATAAGCACCTAAAACAATTATTTGTTTGCTCGACTTTATAGCAAAGCTCTGTCTCAGTCTAACTTTCCCTTAATAAATACACTTGAATGGTCAAATTAGTTGCCATTTCACCAGGGCGGCACAGCGAAATGAAGCTGATTTGACGGTTGCTCCAGGCAGATGACAGTGGCAGGCTATGGCAAGTCGATTGTGTCATTAATAGCCACTTTTACCTATTACATGATACAATCACACCAAATGTTTATTAAATATATCCTTCTACTGTCGTTTTTAAATCTGAACAATTATCCCTTAGAAGTGTTTAGGTTTTTTTTTTCATACCAACACATACCAACCCGACAAACAGGATACAGAGTGACCGTTAGTGAAGCAGTGAGTGAGTGTGAGTGTGTGTGTGTGTTACGTCCACCAAGGGCACAACATATTAAAGAGGACACGAGACAAAAATGAGGGTTCAATTTTCAGTTTATTAAAGCTGCTGCTTCCTGAAATGAAAAAGGAAAAAAAAGATTATTAAGAACCCCCAATTCCCATGTCCACCAAAAAACACAAAAAAATCCAAAGTACAACTTAAAGGAGGACCTGGTGGGCCGGCCAAACAGAACAAAAAGGTATCACAGCGGGCCAACCCTATACAGGGCCGTCAAAGCCACTGGGCACCTGACTAAAAACTAGGAAAAACCCTACTACAAAAAAAGAGGAGACGAAAACAGGGCTACCAGTCCCACCAGGCCAAAGTGACAACAAATCTACAAAAAGTTCACAAAAAATTACCTGAGGTGGCTGGGCCACCGACAGCAGGCCACAGCTCCAGGACAAAGGGAGAGATTTCAAAACTGTGTGTCTCAGAGAGTACCACAAAAACTGAGTGAGCCCAAGAGAGAGCGAGCTCCCCAAAACCAGCCTTTTTTATGGGCGGGCAGAAAAGGCCACAGCCCAAAACAGTTAAGGCTGATTAACTTCACTCAAACAATATCTATTAAAGCAAAACATTAAGGCCAATGTGACTTGCATGTAACACCCCCACCCAAAGATACTGGATGGGATGATGCAGCCAACCAAAACCATCTCTCATCAACCCATACAGATAATCAAAAGAGAGAGAAAAAAAGTAAACAAAGGCCTTTTAGACTGAATCAAATTAATAACATCAGCTTGCTGGGAAAAATCAAGGTGGGACAACAAGAGGGACAAGTTCTCCAACACCACTGAATTAGAAAATCTGCCTTGAGCGTCAGCCCCAAAAAGAACATAATTTTCAGTTTCAGGACCGGACAGCTCAGCCTGCATGTCCATATTTAAGTTGACACATGCCTCAGTTTTCCGAGTAGAAACACAACTGACAGATACATGCAGGGATGGCGCTCGTTCAACATAAGGCTTCAACATGTTAATGTGACACAAACGTGATTGACGTCTTCGATCAGGTGTAGAGACCAAATAATCTCTGTCACTGACCTTTTTAATCAAATAAGGTCCACTGTAGCATGCTTGCAAGCTTGAACCAGGGATAGGAAGTAAACCTAGAACCTTATCACCAGGTTCAAACACTCTTATTGCTGATTTTCTGTCAAACAGAAACTTCATTTCAGCCTGTGCAGTTTTAAGATTTTCTTTGGCTATTTCACATGCACGGCTTAGTTTAAGTCTAAAGTTGCTGACGTAATCCAACAAGTTTTGTTCAGAATCGTCACAAAACCACTTATCTTTTAATAGTTTTAAGGGACCACGAACAGTGTGGGCAAAAACCAGATCCGCCGGGCTAAACCCGAGAGATTCTTGAACCACTTCTCTCACAGCAAACATCTGCAGGTGCACTCCCTCATCCCAGTCTTTCTCAAACTCTAAACAATACGTGCGAAGCATAGTTTTTAATGTTTGGTGGAAACGCTCAAGTGCGCCTTGACTCTCCGGGTGATAAGCGCTGGAACAAAAATGTTTGATGTCAAGTTGTTTCAAAACTTGCGCAAATACTTTAGACATAAAATTAGAACCCTGGTCAGTTTGCACAACTCGAGGCAAACCAAACAACAAAAAAAACTTTGTTAATGCTTTCACCACAACAGGCGTAGTTATTTTACGTACTGGAAAAACTTCAGGAAAGCGAGTGGATGTACACATCACTGTTATTAAAAACTTGTTTCCTGCTTTATTTTGAGGTAATGGACCCACACAGTCAACAAGCAGGCGTTCAAATGGTTCACAAACAGCTGGAATAGGACACAATGGAGCAGGAGGGATTGTCTGATTAGGCTTTCCTGACACTTGACAAAAATTATAGGAATTACAATAGCGCACAACATTTGTCTTTAACCCTGGCCAAAAAAAAAATGACGCAAGATGTTGTAGTGAACTCGGCCTCCGACCAAAACCTGTCTCTGAAGACCTTCATGGGACAGGAACTGTTATTTCATTGATTTGAATCCAGAAATACAAATTATCTCATCCAGAGACTTTCTAATTGTATCCTGAACTAATCAATTGAAAGAACACTCTTCTTTTTATATTATCATTGCTATTTTACAATATCTTGATAATCAAAAAGTGTGTTTAGTTCATATAATTTCTAATGTTGAAGTAAACCACTCGTTTTAAATCAACTGTGAAACAGTATTAATGATTTTTTAAACCTAATTTAAATTAGAAATCAAAAAGTAAATGTCTATTTACAAAGTAATTATGCATTTTGATTTTCTGTCTAAATGAGAAGTCAGTGATGTCGGTCAAAAGTCAGAGACAGTCAGAAAAGAAGTTATTAGAACGGGCTTTATTGTTTTTAAACCTAGCAGACGGTAAAAAGAGAAATGCTGGCATCTGCGTTGTCTCACTTCGCCATAACATTTCTCGGTCTGTACTAAACGTTCCTAAACATTCCTGAACCCTCTGTTGACTTGTAATAACCCTCTGACATCACTAGAACCACCCCCTGTTGGTTGTTTCAATCAATCAGGAAGTCCTAAGTGACCGGAAGTGAGAACTCTTTTAAAAGTCGACACTTCCTGGAACGAGTCAGTCTACTCAGTCTACTGAGTCTACTCAGTTTTCTGAGTCTTCTCCGTCTTCTCAAGTTCTTCTAAGTTCTACTGAAGTCTTGGAGTTCTTCTGACACTTCTTGACTCTTCAGTCTTTGATGGAGTCTTCTCAAGCCTTCTGGAGTCTTCCACTCCTGAGTGGGAACTCTGACGGACTCACAGATACTTGCTGTGAATCCACCCGGGCGTAACGGCCTACAACTTCGAAGGGAGCTGAGCCTGTTTGTTGAACGGAGTAAATCGACACAACTTCTGACAATGATCAGCCGCTCTAACCAGAGACGCTGGAAGGTAGCGTTGAAATGGACCCGATACCGGAGCTGATTCATCTCCTGCGAAGGTAACGAGTCGTCACACGCCAAGTGTACCGGAGGTTTGAGCTGGTGATTGAAAGAAGCGTGCCAATTCTGGTCAATCCAAACATACACCTCCCTTCATCCATCTCTTCTTTAAACTCTTCTATTTTGCTAGTAATCTTTCTAGATGCCGATGCCTTCAGAAATGTCTCGTTGTCTTATTAGTAAAGCGTGCCAAGTTTTATTAATCAGAACCAGATCAGCTAATCAAGTGTACATGTTTTGATGTTAAATTTTGATTCTGTTAAATAAATGACCGCATTTATTCTGATGGGTCAAACAAAATAACGTCTCTTGTCACTGATTAAACAATACTCAGTTACCTCAGTCACATGGCATTAATTTAACTCGAAAAAGAAAGAACCCGTTATATTTAAATAATTAGTAGTGAAGGTACAGCGAAGCTGCACCCCACATTTGGTGGGACCGTACGTGTTTTAAAAAACACATTTGGTGGGACCGTATGTCCACAGCAAAGCTGTCCTTGACACACTACAATGTGATCATAAGTTTTTCTTATTCCAAGGTGACCTGCTAGTGGATTATCATGTGCTAATCCTAGTATCTCTTCACAGTACATAGTTGGAATAACAATTTGTTTCACAACACTCCACTCTTCAACTGGAGAGACATTTAATGGCGTCCATTTACGCATCAGCAACCCATCATTCAGCCAGTAGAAATAGACCCAGAGTTATTCTCAGATACAGCATCCCTAAACAAAGATGCTAAACTCTTATCAGTTTTTTGGAGATCTATTAACTGTTATTTTGACATTGACAATGTATTCACTTCTGGCATGTCCTGCTTCGTACTCTCTTTAGACAGAGAGACATTTTCAGATGATGTGTCATACAAAAAACTGTTAAGTCAATCTCATTTTCATTTTCCTCTTGTTGACGTTTAAGAGCAGCATGCGTAACAGCGCATGGCGTGAATACATCAGGAAATGTACGAGCAAGCTCATCTGGATTTGTGCACAGTACTGGGACAGTTGTAACGTCAGGAGTAACTAATACTCGACCTCCAGCTAAATCATTCCCCATGATCATGGAAACGCCCACTATTGGAAAAGTAGGGCGCACCCCAACCACAGCATCGCTAGACCACAGTTCGGAGTGGATCATGATTTTGTGCAAGGGAACACCAATGTCTTGCATACAAAAACCACGAATCGGTACTTCAGAATCTACAGCTGTGTCTACACTCAATGGTAAAATTCCTTCCAAAATAAAGGATTGAGAGGCAGCAGTATCTCTCAAGATTTTCACAGGAATCCTGTCACCGGTACAAGACACAGAAACAAACCCATCCATAACAAAAGGTTTAAAATCCGCGTACTCACGTCTTCTTTGACGACAATGACCGACTAACATGATTTACATTTTTAATCAAAGCAACAGGCTTGGAGTTATTTTTCTTTAAAACCGAACAGTTAGCCAAAATGTGACCTTTTTTACAGTAAAAGCACGCAACGTGGTCATTAGTTTTTAACTCCAGTCCATTAGATTTTGCTTCACTATCACCTGGCACACCCAATTTCACTGGTTCCACAGGTGAAAAAACAGTTTTTACTGAATTATTTCCATTATCATTAGCTTTTCCAAATCTCTGAAAGTTGTGTGTTCTCAAAATTAACTTTGTGTGTTAACATATATTCATCAACAAGTACTGCAGCTTTAGACACATCCACTTCTTTATTTTCATTTAAATAAGTGGCAACTTTCTCTGGCAAGCAGTTTTTAAAGTCTTCCATCAAAATTAGTCGTCTAAGCTGTGCAAACTCCTTAACATTCTTAGATGCACACCATCGATCAAAAAGAATTTCCTTATCTCTTACAAATTCCACATAAGTTTGATTGAAGCGCTTTCTTAATTTGCGAAACTTTTGGCGATACGCTTCAGGAACAAGTTCATATGCCCTCAACACAGCACTTTTAACTTTATCAAAATCAAAACTATCTTCCACTGACAGATACATAAGCCTCCTGTGCTTTGCCAACCAAAACACACTGCAACAACAAAGACCACACATCTTTAGGCCACTTAAGTGCAAGCGCAACTCTCTCAAACAATGTGAAATATTTAACATCTTTTTCATTAAAAGGAGGAACCAAACGTATATTTTTACTCGCATCAAAATCCAATGATTTTGGCCCTAAAGATTGAACACTCAGCTTCAATCTCCTTTTGTCTATGTTCTAAGTCAAGCCGTTTTAATAGCTCTCTTTCTTTCATTTCAGCTTGTAGCAGCAGCTCTCTTTTAACTGCAGCATGTATCTCAAGCTCTTTTAAACGAACAGCATCACTTTTCACTGAAGCCTCAGATGGCAACTCAAGTTGACCTTGTGGCAAAATTATAGCAGGAAAAATGTCGAGTTTAACCAGTGCTGCAAACAACTCGGCCTCAATCACTCCTCTTCTAGCGCGTGCAGACACCTCAACATTAAAACGCTTTGCTACCAACAACAATTGATCCTTCGTACACTTACACAAGGCTTCAAAAGTGGGTGCTTCAACAAACTCATCTAGGTCAAACTTCATTTTTAGACCCAAAATCAAAACACCACACACCAACAAGCCAATGTACAAACCAAAAGCTACCAAGCCACCACACCTCAAACAGCCAATCAAGCTCCCAACTCAGTGCAGCTGTCTCACTTGCACACGCCAAAGCTCTGCCTCACTACACAAACACACTGGGGAAAACAAAATTTAATATGAGGGACACTAACAAAAAAAATTTGATTTTGTTTTGACGAGCCCCCATTTAATATGAGGGACACTAACAAAAATATTTGACAACAAATCTACAAAAAGTTCACAAAAAATTACCTGAGGTGGCTGGGCCACCGACAGCAGGCCACAGCTCCAGGACAAAGGGAGAGATTTCAAAACAGTGTGTCTCAGAGAGTACCAAAAAAACTGAGTGAGCCCAAGAGAGAGCGAGCTCCCCAAAACCAGCCTATTTATGGGCGGGCAGAAAAGGCCACAGCCCAAAACAATTAAAGGCTGATTAACTTCACTCAAACAATATCTATTAAAGCAAAACATTAATTCAATTCAATTCAAAAATACTTTATTAATCAAAATTAAATTAAGGCCAATGTGCCTTGCATGTAACAGTGAGTGAGTGAGTGGGTGAGTGAGTGAGTGAGTGAGTGAGTGAGTGAGTGAGTGAGTGAGTG